ACCTTCCAAAATGAATCACTTCACACTTTTCCGGGTTGAATTCCATCTGCCACCTCTTTGCCCGGCTCTGCATCCTGGCAATAAGACATCAGAACCTTTTGGCTATACTTCAGGTCTGACAATTTTCCATCCTTTACGATCCCTGATTCCCCCTAACACTGAGATCAGGGAAACACAATAGTAATGTCAGCGGAATAATTCTCAAGCCAAAATGCTCTGCTTCAACTCCCACAATACCCGCCGACAGAACTTGATTTGGTCTCTATCGCGGAAACCATTGTCGCAAGAGCCCGGCTGGTTCACTGGGGGGTGGGGGGATTCAGACGCACTTTTTGGGTCTAACCTACACGTGACTCCAGGCTTAACAGCACATTACCCTGAAATGGCCCTGCAAACCGCTCAGTTCAAGGGCCGTTCGCGACAAGCAACTCATTGTTGGCATTGCCAACGATGCTCAAGTACCCCAAGAAATACCAGGATAAAGAAGGGACTCCAGACCCACTGCAATGTGGTTGACTCTGAACTGCCCCCTGGGTAATTAGGAATGGGCAATAAATGCTCGTCTGGCCCTCATCCCGTTAATTAATAAAGAAAAAAAGATGTTATTAAACTGGAAAGGGTGTGAAATAAAAATATTATAAAGATGTTATTGGGACTGGCGGGTTTGAGCTATAGGGAGAGGCTGAATAGGCTGGGGCTATTTTCCCTGGAGCGTCGGAGGCTGAGGGGTGACCTTATAGAGGTTTATAAAACATGAGGGGCATGGATAGGGTGAATGGGCAAGGTCCTTTCCCCAGGGTGGGGGAGTCCAAAACTAGAGGGGCATAGGTTTAAGATGAGAGGGGAAAGGTTTAAAAGGGACCCAAGGGGCAACTTTTTCATACAGAGGGTGGTGCGTGTTTGGAATGAGCTGCCAGAGGAAGTGGTGGAGGCTGGTACAATTACAACATTTAAAAGGCATCTGGATGGGTACGTGAATAGGAAGGATTTAGAGGGATATGGGCCAAATGCTGGAAAATGGGCCTAGTTGGACCAAAGGGTCTGCTTCCGTGCTGTATGACTCTATAACAGAAATTGCTGGAGAAACTCAGCAGGTCTGTGAGGGAGGAGAGAAAACAGAGCTGACATTTTGAGTGCAGTGACCCCTCTGTCCCAGATCTTCGGCGTCTGCAGATCTTTGTTTCATTCAAGACCCCTTGCGTGTCTGATCATTGTAACCTGAGAAAGGATGCGTTGCTTGAGCAGGCCACCAATTAATTATACAGCACCACAGCACACAATAGGAAGTAATTTTCCATGAACCGCTGACTGTAATAGACAGACGTGCACAGCTCAGGCACCTGTTATAGAACGAATGCAGCCATCAGTTCTGAGGAAGGTTCACCTGAACGCGAAACGTTAACTCTTTGATTTTTTTTTTCTTCGCAGATCGCTGCCGGATCTGCTGAGCTTTTCCAGCCGCTTCTGTTTTTGAATCTTGGTTCGACTTTGCAGCAGTGCTTGGGGAAACTTGGCCACATCTTTGTGAGGGACAATAGTGAGGTATTTAGCGCCGCCATAACGTGTGACTGTTTCCGACAACGCGCGCAGAGTAATCACACGATTTCGCTGCCTGTGGGGGTTCTGGTCTCATTTTGCCTGCGTGGATCGCACGGTTTTTTTTTAAGCGCGCTGTGAGATTGCACTAACCCCTCTGCCTTACAGTTTAGGGCTGACCTCCACTTTTCAGTTCACTCAAGCAGAGTTCTGGCACTTAACCTGCGCACCAGGAGTGGGGGGGTGGTTGTGTACTGTCCAGACTTTCCACTCATGAGCCATGAAGGAATCCATCCCCTTTCCCCTACACCCACCCCCTCACTACAAATCCCAAAGTGCAGCCTTTCCTTCCAGACTTTCTGAGAGAAACATCAAATGATTTGCTGATCTAAATGGTGGCTGCATGTCGCCATTGCTTTAATTTTTGGTGTGTTTTGGACTAAAACAAAAAGGGAAATACCACTTTAAAACAAGGAGGACTATTGGGGAAGAGGTGGCTGGAGTTTCACAATATCCTGTTTACTGGAGCATGCTGTGAGTTAGAGTCACACGGCACGGAAGCAGGCCCTTCGGCCCAACCAGTCTGTGCTGACCATAATCCCAAACTAAACAAGTCCCACCTGCCTGTTCCTGGCCCATATCCCTCCAAACCTTTCCTATTCATGTACTTATCCAAAAGTCTTTTAAACGTTGTAACTGTACCCACATTCACCACTTCCTCTGGATGTTCATTCCACACATGAACCACTCTCTGTGTAAAAAAGAATTGTCCCTCATGTCCTTTTTAAGTCCTTTTTAAATCTTTCTCTTCTCCCCTTAAAAATATGCCGCCTAGTCTTGAAATCCCCTATCTTAGAGAAAAGACATCTACCATGATTTTATAAATCTCTATAAGGTCATCCTTCAACCTCCTACGCTCCAGTGAAAAAGGTCCCAGCCTCTCCTTATAACTCAAGCCCTCCAATCCCGGCAACATCCTGGTAAATCTCTTCTGAACCCTCTCCAGTTTAATAACATCCTTCCTATAACAGGGCGACCAGAACTGGACACAGTGCTCCAGAAGAGGCCTCACCAACGTCCTGTACAACCTCAACATGATGTCCCCAACTCCTATACTCAAAGGTCGGAGCAATGAAAGATT